TAGTCTTGAAGAGTTGTATATGGAAAATAGTTTTCGCAAATGGGAACGATCAGCAGCAGAAAGCGAAGATAAGAGGATGGCAAGCCTTGTTGAGGTGATGTCTTTATTGTCTAATCATTTGAAGGTTTTAGTCATAGATATACCCGATTTCAACTTCTTTCCAAAAGAAATTTACTTGACAATCCAGAGGAAAAAGGATGGTTTATTGAACGACGGTCTTATGCATTCGAAAATAAGTTGGATATTGTTGAAAGTGATGCAACGGAATTCATGGAGATTCAAATTGTTCAACACTTATTTAAGAAATGTGAAGATTTATTCTTGGGTGAGATTAAGAATTTAAAGCATGTCCTCAATGAATTAGACCAAGAGGGTTTTCAACACTTAAAAGTTTTAAGAATTTGGAAGTGCCCTGAGATAGAATACCTTGTAAATGGAGCAAGTTGGACTCAACAAACAGCCTTCCCTCTCATCCAATCAATCGAACTCAAGTGGATGCCCAAGCTAAAAGCAATATGCCACGGCCAACTTCCACAGAGCTCTTTTATCAACTTAAGATCTCTTGAATTATATGATTGCCCTGTTTTAAAATATGCCTTTTCTCTATCAGTAGCAAGCAACTTGGTTCAACTCCAAAGCTTACTTGTTGTCAGCTGTCCCCAAATGAAAGAAATCGTCTCAAAGGAGTGGAGGGAAGATGAGACGGCATTCGTTGGTTTCCCTAAATTAACAAATTTGACACTCAAACGTCTATCTGATGAATTCGTTGGTTTCTACGAAGCCAACAAGCTATACTCCAACCATGAGGTATGTTACATATATAACTTATTATTTCGATGCTTGAATAGTATAATTGTTTTGTTAATTGTTTGTGCCTCAATTTTTTATTTTTTTTAGTCTGAATTTAGTTTGACTATTATTTACTCATTTTCTTCCTAAAAACTGAAAATATTCTCATACTGATAAATGAGGAATTTAGTTTACTTGCCTTTACAATAAAAAATAAAAAATAAAAAATTGAGCATGTGCAGACCACAAAGAAAATCATTGTCTTAATTAATTAAGTAATTATGGTAAATTATTTTATAATCTTTGTGATAGAGGAGGTTTCAGAGGTTGATTAAAAAAGAAGGAAAAAAAAAAAAAGACAGAGAGCATTATTAGGCAAATCTATGTAAAAGGGTTCAGGCTCCCTAGACTCATTTTTTGTAAAAAATTTTGTTTGTAAAAATTTTTATCCATTCCATATATTTATTTGTAAAAATTTTGGTCTCGAAGCAACGAATTTAAGTTCGTATCCCTGAAAATCCAAAAAATTCGATTATAAAAAGTCATAAAATAAAGAAAGAGCCAAACCAAAACTCTTTCTCTATTATAAATTTAGTGAATGAACTTTCATATATATATATATATATATATATATATATATATGCACGTGGGCTGCCTTACCTGAATTGATTGTATTCGAGAAACCAAAACTCTTTCATATATATATATTTTTTGCACGTGGGCACCAACAAAATTACTGTCTTAATTGCCAATGCTTTTATGTGATTATTATTCTGCAAAGCAGAGGAGAGGTTTTGTTTGAACAGTATCAGCATAAAGAATCTAGAAATTGACTAGTCCTCCGATTAAAATTTGGTTTTATTAATATTTTAATATGAAGTTATTAATTTCAGTTTTGAGAGGAAAATGTCTGAAGTTGATCTATAAAATGTTTCTTTAAATATTTATTAATTAATGAATCTTTTCAGGATCAAAATGTGGTAGGAACTTCATATGATGAGCATCAATCTTCTAGAAGCTTTGAAAGAGCAGTATTTCCATCAAAGTGCATTTTATGGTTACAAAATCTTGAAGAAGTGGAACTATATTTTCCCAATTATGCCATTGTAGATGTGTTCTTTGATCTGAAAGGCCACATGCTTCCAGCATTTTCTCATTTACAAAAATTGGAGATTTCATTGGCTTATGGATGTCAACACCTTTGGAAGAACATTCCGCGTGGATTCCAGGACTTCCAAAACTTAAGATATTTAAAAATAAGACGTGGTCATGATCTCCAATATGTGTTCCCACATTCAATTGCCAGGCTACTTGTGAATCTTGAAGAGCTCAACATAGCGTACTGCTGGGAAATGGAAACTATAGTCAGATCCGCAGATGAAGAGGATCAGACGGGCATGACTTTGTTTCCCAAACTAAATAGTTTTTATCTACGCAAGCTTCCGAGTCTTGAGAGCCTTTGCCCTGATGCTTCTACTTCTTTATGGTCAGCCGCCAAAGTTATGTCTATGGAAAGATGCGACAAACTGAAGACATTGGCTTCAATAATTCCACAAATAAAAAAGTTGGAGAAAGATTCAAAAGCTCATCACGATGACGAAGACGAAGGTATTTCATCAGGATCTTGTGGATGTACACCTTATTCATGTGGCCCAATGACCAAACCTACTTCAAGAACAAATATTGTTCAAATATTGCCACGTCCAGTCAATCAAGAGGTAAGCATTTCAATTTACTATTATTTTACAATTGAGAATGACAATGACATTGCCATATTGAAATTATATAAATTATATACGGTTGCTCAATTGATGTTTGATTTTCTAGGTTGCACCAACAAATCTTGATCAAGACTCAAATGATTACGATAATCTAGAACGTCTTGATGTAGAATGTTGTAAGTCACTGGAAGTTGTTTTCCAACTCAAGGGACCAAAGGCTGTGGAAAGCCATAATGTTGAAGCATTCAATAAGTTGTGTTATTTGTCGTTACACCAATTGCCAAGTTTAATGCATGTATGGGAAACGGGCGGTTCACAACATATCCCAGGCTTCGGAAACTTGACATTCTTAAGTGTATTCGACTGTGGCAGTTTGAGATATTTGTTCTTGTCAACTGTAGCCAATCTCCTTGTCAGTTTAAAGGACTTAAGAGTTGGGAGATGTTGGAAGATTGAACAAGTTATTGCAAAAGCAAACACTGAATGTGCTGATCAGGAAATTACATTTCCTCGACTGAATTCCATGACGCTTGAAGATCTACCAAACCTCATTTGTTTCTCTACTGAAGCTTATACTTTGAAGTTGCCATCTTTGATGGAATTGAAGGTTATAAGATGTCCAGATTTAAGAACATTTGCTTCCAAGGTTGTCAACACACGTTCTGTAATCCAAGTACACACAGAGTTGGGAAAGTCTGAGTGGATGGGGGACCTCAATAGCACTATAGGGAACATTCACAAAAAAAGGTATGCTCCTGAATGTTTACTGGTGTTTAGTCAATAATATAACAATTAAAGTGTTTCTTTCTCAAACCTGATTGCATCTCAATAATACACATTCTTTTCTTTTGAATACAGGGAAACACAGAGAAGTGCAGAGGTGAGTATATATATGTTGCCATCTCCAACTTCTATATTAAGGAAACACTGATGTTTGCAAATCTTACTAAAAAAATATGCCATATTATGCCATGTTAAGGAAAGAATTAAATTGGTTAGCAAGATCAAATTACGGTTCTAATGATATAAACAAAAAAAATTACGTGTGAGAATGTTTAAGCTTCGATTTGACAATAAATTACATGTATTTCATGTGTGTTTGAGGTTTTTTTAATTCAAGTGTTCTATCATTGCGATATAGTAGACGAAAACAAAACAAACAACCATTTGTCACTTTCGATTTTAGTATAAGCTGATGAGTATTATTTTTCTAGTTTAATATTGTTTCCCTCTTTTCAGCACATTGATGAGGAGGTTTGAGTTCTGTTCTGAAGAATTTTACGAGGATGTGCATACAGACTCTACAGCAAGTTGCAATTTGCAATTCGACATCTCTAACCTCATCAATTAAAAAAAAAAAAGCTTAGGCAGAGTATTTAGAGCCTCCTAAAATTTGAATTTTGTAGATTTGTCTAGAGATTACTGAATGTTGTAGCTTTTTGCATCATTATCAAAAACACTCTGATGCCTAGGCAGAGTATTTTCATTGTGTTTATTCGATTTTAGTATAATATTGTTTCCCTCTTTTCAGCACATTGATGAGGAGGATGAGTTCTCTTCTGAAGAATATAATGAGGAACAAGTTGATGAGGAGGTGAATACAGACTCTACAGAGTGAGTTCTTGAAGTTTGGAATAACAAGTTGCCATTCCACCTCTCTAACCTCATCAATTCTTGAGAAACAATCCCATTTGAATTCCAAGTGTTGAAGTGTATTATAATTCATGTACTGGATTTCATTTGTATATCATTCAAATGTTTGAGCAGATCTGATGGTTAAAGCATAAGTTCATGTATTTTTTAGAGTTATCAAGGATTGATGTTAAATTCTCTCTTCAAATAAATAGTTCCTGAAGGTGTGAACAAATCATTGCTTGTTTTAAGTATCCCAAGTCTTTGTATATTAACTACATGTTGTTGTTATATTTCTGGAATCCAAATAGCTGCTTTTGTTTCTTCAGTTCAGATAAAAATGGAGATGATTTTGACACTCCAAAATTCTCCTCCCACACTACTTTACTCTCTCACAAGATGAGTGCCAAACTCATAGGGTCCTCTTGAGTGAGAGAGTAGAGGAGTGGGGAAGGTGATAGTTGGAGTGCCAAAATCATCACCCTTTGAAATATATAAATTCCTGAGAAATTGAATTGAAGAAAAAGCAGAGTGGGTTACAAATGCTTAACTGCTTTAGTCTTTATCTTCCTCTTTTGCAATCCTACAGATGCACTAGGATCCCTGAGGCAAAGCTGTGAGTTTGTTTGCCCCAATGATGGTTTAAACAAATGAAGTAGGATGTGAGATGGTTGGTCCAGCTTTTGGTGGGGTTATTGCACAAAGAATGTTATTTCGAGAAGCGAGAGGGTTTGGATTGAGCATGGAGAAACTGCTGGATTATGAGAAATCCCTAAGTGAAGCTTCCAAGGTTCTGAAAGGAACTCAAAAATGCCAAAGGTTTAGAATTCCAGAAACAAAATTGTAGCCCTCACAATAAAAATAATCTCACTTGTCAAATTAGCTTAGGGAAACTAACACAAAATTGCTACAATGCTGCTACGGTATCCATGAACTGTCCCTCCCAATCTGTTTTATAAATTGTTTGCCATTCTCCTCTACCTTACCTAACATTTTAGCAGATGAGAAAAAGAAAAAGAAAAAGAAATGCTTACCAGAACAGCAGTGACAACTGTGAAGGGTGTAGCAACTGCATGGAAAATGTTCTTGATGTTTATTACTATGTGAAAAGTTGTTTGTCCCAGAATAGGAGGCATTATAAGTTATGCCTACTCATTTTCACTGGAGGTTTCAAATTGAGTGGCAAATGTGAATTTCTGTTTTCGCTGCTATAATAGAAATATTTTATCCATCCTTTCAGATGAATCTTATCATCGTGGGGATAAAATAGACAATTCTAAATTTGGGGCAGATCCTGGGTTGCCTAGTGAAGCTGCCTCTGGAGTAAAAACAGGTCAAAATGGAGGAAACACTGGTACACCAGCATTCCGCTGCAAGAAATGCCGAAGAATTGTTGCATTGCCAAAGAAATCTCTTCTTTCTCCTTACTTTTATCGGAAGAGGAAAGAAATGGAAATCCAGAGTTCTCTGATATCTCAACCACAAGGGTGAAGTGAAATGCAGAAATGTTAATGGGTATGGGCTTTCTTCTCAATACTTGACTTACTAAGTACGAGTGAACCAACTACAATGAGCAGGGCACCTGCAAACCACTGTCAAACAAGCCTTCTCATCATCAGATACGCAAAAGAAACAAGTCAAGAAACATTTTCTCAAGGTTCTTATAATGAACAATCATTATAATTTATATATATGCAGCAACAGAAATGCATAACAGCAATCACATCTGTAGTGCTCCGAAACCGGAATGAAAATCTTTGGTGCAAACACTCCACCATTTAACAATGTCATTCGTTTATTAAATTCTATGCTTCACATTCAAAATCAAAATTGGATGCCTCGTATAAGTAACTTGACAGAGTTAATAATTTTGGCCAATTTGATCAAATTGGATGGATCCTCTGCTATAATCAAAGGAATGTCAAACAGTCATAACTCAGAAAGAAGCATATCAAAATGAATAGATCAGTGTGAGTTGGTCCAAAATCATCAGCATGTATTGATTTACCTGAAAAGATAAGGGTTCTTGGAACAAAAAGTATCCAGCTAGACCAGAAGACAGGAAGTTTGCAGCAAAATTTGTGACAGTAGCTTGCAGAGAAGACAGAGCTTTAAGGCTGTTCACATAACATCCCCACATTGTCGCATTCAACAATATCACCAAACCATACCTAACAATCTGTTCAAACAATAACAATTACAAATCAAGCTTTCGTTGACCCAAAAACAAAAAACAAAAAAAATTACAAATCAAGCAGGATTTTGCGATGTAAATCCAACGGTCTTAAATTCATCAAGTGTGCAAGGGAAAGGCACCTGAGGAGTGATGAGCTTCGCCGAAACGGCAGCCAGAGCGGCGTTCAGGCCTGCTGAGATTGCCCACGCGTAGCCCTTCTTGTTGTTACCCTCCATTAAGCCACCAAACTCTTCAATTTTGCAGGGTGAAGGAAATTGGGTCGAGAAGATTTTGACTGGGGAGAGCGGACGATGTCGTTTTGCCTAATCGTGAAACGGCATGTCCTTTGTTTGTTGCTCACAAGTCGCCTAGTGGACAACAAAAGTGGACGGTGGACAGTGAGGCGGCGAAAGGAGGAGCAAGGCGGTCGCTAAGGCGTCCGAGGCGCTAAGTTTTTCACGAAGAAGAAGATCAGATCTGACCTAACTTCTTTCACTAAACGACACCGTTGCCTCTTCTGTTTTTTATTTTTTTTAAAAATTCTGATACGCCTCTTATGGTTCCTTTTGAATGAAACTCATTGTTTTATTCATTGACTTTTCGCCGATAATATCGTTTTTTTGAGGGGGCGATATTTTCGCACTAATCCACACTATTATCGTTAATATATCGATATTTTTATCGATATTATCGCGATAATCAGTGTTTTCAAAGACATACCTTCGCACGAGTCGGAGCGAGGCGGTAAGAAATCGCCTGATGCGGTTGGCTGTTTCACAAGTTTCACGTTTAGCGCGGTGAGGCGTGGGAAGGCGTGACAAGGCGCTGCAAGACGTGGCCAGGCAGACAAGGCGTTTCAACCCTAAAACCTGTGTATTCTCCAAGCGGCGCGAGGAAGAAAGAGATTCCGCGAGGAAGAAGAAGAGTTCGTGTGAATATTTTTGGGAAATAGCCCTATATGCCACCAATTTTATAATCTTAAGTAAAAATACCACCGCTCCCCAATTTTTTTACAACTAATACCTATAAATATAAAATTATTGTACACTTATTGCTCACCTAACCCTTTTTCTGAAAATCACCTCTCGCGAATCAGCTCTCTCTTTGGCTCCGTCTCTCACAGTCTCCACTCTCTGGTCACTGAGCTCTCACTCTGTCGTCACTCGTGGCTGACCTCTGACGCTCTCAGTCTCTGGTCGCTCAGGTCTCACTCTCTCTTCTCTCTTCCTCTCCCAGCGGAATCCGTTCATCGAAGATCAATGCCATCCATTACCTGAAACAGGTACTGTTCATCGACATTTTCTTACGGCTTAGGGTTTATGGGTTTGTATGAAAATCGTTTACGGGTTTGTTTGAAATTGGTTTAGGGTTTAGGGTTTAGGGCTTTCTCTGAAATTGGTTTAGTGAGTTCTCTGAAATGGGTATAGGGTTTAGGGGTTTCTCAGAAATTGGTTTAGGGGTTTCACTGAAATTGGTTTAGGTCTGAAATGTTCTGATTCGGATGATTCATTGTTTGAAACAGTGAATGGGTTTGTTGTTTGTGGAATGATGCTTGCATTGCTGTTGTTTTGCTGTTGGTATTCATGTTGTATTGCTCTTTTGTTGCCGGAGTATTGCTGATGTAGTGACGTTGTATATTCATTTTAGTGCTGTTGTATTGCTAGTTTTTTATGGTTGTAATGGTTTATTTTGGTTTTATTCATGTTCCACAACAACAAATGTAGTTCACTGACACACCTTTATGACTTGTTTTAAATGTACGTCTTTGAAAGTAATTTGGGCTATACATTGTACGGCAGTGAAACAAACACGTCATTGATAAGTTTAGGGCTTGCATATTGGATATGGATAAGTTATCTTTGTTTTTCATATTCTGTTGTGATTATTTGGAATTTCAGTTTGGGGATGAATATTGAATGTGTAAACAAAGGGCAAAGAACCATATGCGGGGATGTATATTAGTTTTGGGTGCACAATGGGCTAGTTTTGAAGTTACAGTACCTGCAGATGTGTTGCTTGTGCTATCTTTTAAATGGATTTGAAGAGCCTATACTGAAATAGCTTCTCCTTCCCATTTCCCTTCTCATTCGGGAAGCATTTTCGTGTTAGGCCTTTGGTTTATCAGTCACTTATTTGTTCAAACAATATTGGATGTAACTAGTGTTTCGTATCTAATTGTAGTAACTAATTTGCAGGTTTCTAGTGAGCAGAAGTCACCATAACTTTATCTTTTGGAGAATATTGTAAAGAATAGCGGACGGGACTACATAAAATATTTTGTTGTCAGACTCCTTGAGGTTAGATTTCTGTTTTTTGTGATGCCTCTCATTTCTCAGCATGCTTTTTGTGGTTACGTAACGCAGCTTCTTGATTTCTTGACATGTAACAATGTCTGAATCAACCTGGAATACACAACATATTTAGTTTGAGGTTTAAATAATGGCAATTGGGATTAAATTATCTTTGATATCCACATTGTTCACTGCTTACGAATTACATTGTTTCTTTCAAATAAAATGATGTTTTTCTGCACAATGTGTCATTATTACCCCCTTGTGTCAAATTCGACGATAAGGTTCACTTCACTTGACTTCACTCCGTAGTTACTTTGTAGTCAAAAGTTTTTCCCATTTTTTGCACTTGTAGGTGCATGAAATGGGAAAAACTTATGTAGGAAGCCTTTTGAAGATAAAATATAAGAGAAGGACGTGGGAAAATATAAGAGCACGGCTTGTGGACAGAAAATATAACATAAGGAAATTGGAAAATATAAGAGAAGGAAATGGGAAAATATAAGAGCAAGACTTGTGGACAGAAAAGATAAGAGTTGAAGGTACAATGAATTTTTATTTTTTCTGTCATGGGCCATTGGTGAACATACATGAAATGCATATAAAGTTCTATTGGGGCTGTATTGTAGGTTTATCACTGATATATCTTGTGCATATTGCCATGAGATGCATCTGTATTGTGTGTTTATTGCTTGTAATTGTGTATATTTAAAAGGCTTTAAATTATTTGTATAATGGTGGTGTGTAGGGAAATATGGTCTCGAAAGCAAAGTTGATGATTGCTGCGGATGAAAAAATCCCGGGAAAGGCATTGACCCTTTCCCATACAAAAACAGCGATCTGTACAATTAAGGACAAATTTAGTGGGCAACAGTTACAAAGGTTCAAGGACAGTTGTTTTGGCCATTTGTTAGTAATTGAGGACCTGAAGTGGACAACACAAATTATCCATGGCTTGTTGTTGAGAAAGGCAGACCCGAGGACAGTTTCTCAAGTCAACGGGATCAAATTCATCGTTGGCAACAAGGTCATACAGTTCACAGCGCAGCAGTTTTGCGTCATCACAGGGCTGCAGTTTGGAAACCTTCCCTTCATTCCGACTGCGACTAATGACAACTGCTCATTGAAGAAGAAGTATTTTTGCAACAATAAAACGGTCAGCCTTTCCGAACTCGAACAAGCCTTCATCGACAGCGGTGATGAGGAGGACGTCTTCAAGTTTGGGCTTTTATATTTCGCTGTTTTTGTGCTGTTGGGCAGTGAAAAACATGTCAACATTGACATGCGCTACTTGAAATTGGCCGAAGATGTTGAAGAGTTCCAGAAGTATCCGTAGGGTGCTGTGTCGTATGCCAAGACAAATTCCTCATTGTTGAGGGCACTGTGCGCAGTATACCAGCGAGTGAAAGTGCCCCAGAAAGCCTTAAAAACCAAAAAATCAGCAAAGCAATCCAAGACAATGGCGAGTGGTAGACCAAGGGAGTACCACATAAAAGGATTTGGCTTTGCACTTCAGGTGAGGAAATATCCGTTTATGTATAAGTTCCATTTACTTTGTTTACAGTGATTGATATTTTTTTGTTGAAAATAGATATGGGCTTTTGAGGTGTTTCCAGCATTCGCTGCATTGCATATCATTGTGCGCGAACAGAATGGCCAACTCCCTCGTATACTACAATGGAGGATCAATAGTTTGCCTCGTTTTCACGAAGTTATGAGCCAAGTCTTTGAAAATGCAGAGGTTAGTTCTGTTTATAATACTAATGTTATGCTTCTGATTCAAATTATAGGTTTAATAATATGTTTTTTGTCTCTGTAAATTGCAGGTTGATGTGCAACCTCTCCGCCCATCTGTAATTGAGAAGCAGCAGCCGTATTGGAGTTGGGGTGACGGTGTTGACGACACTGAAGAAGTTGTTGAGTTGTTTGGCGATGACGAAGAACCAAAAACCAGCACTTCTGCCTATGCGCAAGAAAACGATGAGGATATTGCTGAAACTGCTAGCCTTCCATCGTCTTCGAAGGCAAGCATTACCTTTTTTCCAATATATACGTCATAATACCATAGGAAAAAAACTGCTGTTTATGGGAAATATTTTGGAAATATTGTAACATTTGCATTATAACTTAATGCAGGGTAAACTCGCGTCCACTCATTTACGCACTTTGAAGCGTGACTTTGGAAGGACAAAGGATGAATTGGCCAAAGTAGCCGCTTCGAATCGAGGGCTTCGTAAGAGAGTGCATCAGTTGGAAGAAATTGTACGGACGGAGTCCTTGAAACGTGAAACAGAGGCAGCAAAATATAAAAAGTCAGTGGAGGATTTTGCCAAGACCCTAGCTTCCATGGAACAGTATTTCAAGGGGGAGATAGAGCAGCTGAAAAAAAAAGAAATAGTGGGTTAAATGAGGGTGGGGAAGGACATGAGGACCTCGGTAGTCCTCATATGAATGAAGGACCATTACATGACTATGGTAGTCCGCATATAGAACCGGCAGCAATGGAAACAAAAAGCCCCGGTGATGGAGCCGAACCATCCGCAGCCTTGGTAGTCGAAGAGGCAGAAATGGTCACTTCCGTTCCTCACTTAGAAGTGCATGAAGCAGCTGAGCATGCACAAGTCGAGAAGCTGCCTACCCCGGAAGATGTGGCCGGGTGTGACGAAATCTGCAAAAGACTGATGTTTTTGTTAGAATATTGGAAAATAAGTGATAGTATGGCATCGGGAGGTCCGATCAATCCTCCAAGTATACCCAAAGTTAGTATGGCTGGTGATGGAGAAGGTAGTGCGAGTGTTGAAACTTGGCAATATTCATACACTATATATACAATACAAAGGCAATGTTAAGCAATATACATACAATAAAAGAGCAATAGTAAGTTTATCTACATACAATACACACACATCCATTACAGAATACATTTCACAGATGCAAAACAAATCGCCCCCGAACCTTAACAATAGTATACCGCGAAGGGAAAACCAAGGCAACAAAAGATCCATGTACTCGGGTCAGATGAACTCAAGCAGCACTCACCCTTACTACAGGTCCATCAAAAGATTCATCTCTTTGTCCTTTGTCCTCGCTGCATGCACGAAACTATGATGAGCCATTCCCTCATCACCCATATTCAGCACCTCCCACACACCAGCTACATCAATTTCACTCCAATTGTAGTTTGGTGAGATCACCGAAGCATAATCTCGATCACCCATATTCAGCACCTCCCACACACCAGCTACATCAATTTCACTCCAATTGTAGTTTGGTGAGATGACCGAAGCATAATCTCGGAACATTTCAAAGCCGTTGTTGAAACATTCAACCATTTCATGGTTATATTCTTCAGATTTTGTGAAATTTTCGACGGCATCTTTCTTTCGCTCTTCCAATTTCAACTTCAACGACTCTAACTTTTTGCTCCGAGTTTTTGCTTTTAGAGTTTGCTTAACTTCTCCAGCAAATGCTTTGTTCAACTTGTTGGCCAAGTTTCCCATAACTTGGCCATGAATATCACATTTGCTCTCCCACCAATCTGTTGCCTTAGACAAATATTGGAGGTCGTGCTTGACGGCAGAGATTTTGTCAAGCGGATCAGTGCTCTCGGCCTCACTTCTAGATGAAGTGGGATCGTGATTGGGAGTCAGCGGTGGAGATGGGAATGGCACATGCCACGGCAGGTCCCCTGGGTAACTGACTTGGTCGTTTGGAGGCCGTACATCCGACATGTTGAAGTATTGAAGTATTGAAGTACTAGAATTCACAGCTGCCGACTACAACAAAACAAATAAACGTAGATTCTGTGTCAAGTTGTAAACGACAATATGGTTAGCTTTAGTGGACAATGTTTGCCTTTGAGTAGGACAGATATGAAGTACTGATATGAATGTGGAGAATGTTTGCCTTTGAGTAAGACTGATATGAAGTACTGATATGAATGTTTGCCTTTGCCTTTGAGTCAGACTAATATGAATGTTTACATTTCCCGTTAATTAAGCTGCCTATGTTGCAGTTATATATAGGAAGGTTCATATATTGGGTCTTTAGTTGGTGCATTAAATTGATGGGATTGCAAACTACACCATTAACTCCTTGGCTGTAATTTACAGCAGTAGAGCATTACATTAACAACAATAAAATTGGCTTACAAACGAAAAAAAGCAAACCTTAATGGGAAATTGGAAAATAGCAAAATAGCAAAATAGCAAAAGTGCAAACTTGGAAATTGGGAAATAAGGAAACTTGGAAAATTG